GAGAACGTCCCCAGGCAGAGGAAGCGTATAAGACTACACGTTCAATTACAACGCGATACCATAACTTCAAGATGAAGGGGGGAACGCCCCAAGATCCACCCGTGACTTTAAAAAATGAATTAGTAAAAGAAGCGAGACGTCCCTGAAGAAATTTGAGGTGAGAAGTCCAAGAGAGGCGATTATTAATTACAAGACCCAAAAGTTTGATGTCAGTGGTAAATTTAATTGGTTGACCAAGAAGTTTTAACGATGGATTCCTGCGAAGCATATACCCTTGCGACCAATTAATAATGCTTGTATTTTGGAATGGTGAAAGTGTGATTTTATGTAGCCTTGGCCCAATTTTGTATAAGATTCAAGACAATATTGCGTATGTGATTGAATTTGTGAACGACCAGATACTACTAGAACAAAATCATCAGCATAGGCTAAAAGCTTCGCATCCTCCACCGAATCAAGCTGTTGTAAGAGAGAATTGGCAACCAAATTCCAAAATAGAGGCCCAAAACATGAACCCTGGGGACAACCTCTCGATAAATCCTTGAGAAAAACACCGGGCGGAATTGAAATCTGAACAGAACGAGAACAAAAATAACTACTGACAAAATTTAGAAGATAAGATGGACAACCAACATCGATTAAAGTTTCTATGACATCTGGCCACCATAGTGCATCAAATGCACCGCGGATGTCCAGAGAAATAAGAACAGAATGGAGGTCGTTGACTCGATTTTGCTCCAGGATTGTGAAAAGTTTATCAAAGAAGTGGTCAGTAGAAAGATTAGAGCGAAACCCAAATTGTGAAGGATGAAAAAAATGAATCTGTTCAAGAAAATAATTAAGTCGAAGAAGGATTGTCCGCTCCAAAAGCTTGCCAAAAGCTGGAAGAAGACAAATAGGGCGATAAGAAGTGGTTAAAAAGGGATCTTTGTCTTTTTTAAGAAACAAAACCACTTCAGCTATTTTACTTGCCGAAGGGAAATGTTGAAGTTTCCAAGCAGGCATTCAAAAAGGAAAATAGAAGATCAGGAAAAGAAAAGTAAAGAATCTTAATGAGATTATTATCAATGAGATCAGGACCCGGAGCTTTCCTGGAATTCAACGACCGAATTATTAAGTCAACCTCAAAGCGTGTCGGAAGTACAACACTCCCCTCGGGTTCCGCCAAACGGGATTGTTGAAAAGAGTAGACGAGATTGTAATTGTTGAGAGGAGTCAGTAGAAGGATCATCCTGCCCAAATAGTTCATCTAAAAAGATCCTATAAAAATCAGCTTGTGTACTTGCGGATGGAATTATCTGCATTGGCAAACGAAGATGGACGAAAGACTTTATCAACAGCCACCTTGAACACAAAATCAAATGAATCTGACACAGAAGAAGCACAATGAAGTCCAAGATGCTCGCTTAGCTTTACAAATCTCTCGTTTAAAAGGAGAGATTTTAAAGAGAATTGGAAAATTTTAAAGAGAATTGGAGAGTTTGTTGCCAAAGATACAAATTGCCTGTAGATGACGATATTCTAGAAAACGAGCATTTCGAATAGATGGGTCAACAGCTGATTGAGCATAACGACGTAAAGCGCGTACTCTCCTACGCAACCGCTGGAGAGAAGAGTTCCACCAAGATGACTGACGAAATCGAGGAGATCTTTTGAATTTAAATGATGAAAGAGATTCAACATAAATAGATTGTATGAAATTAGAATATATAAGATCAAGATCTCCGACAGAAGTGCAAGAAGAAAATTGGTGAGTAAAATTTTGAGCAGAAGGTGCAAAACTTGTAATGAAAGGTTGAGGATTAACACCCAGGGTTTTAAAACGAGCAACGGAGGAAAAAGAGATAGTGTCGACAAAATTAAAAGTAATATACTGATGGTCACTAAGACTGACCAAATCAGAACGGACTTGCCAATTTTGGATGAATGGAGAAAGTGAGGCACTGACTAGAGATAAATCAATCCAACCCTGGGAGCGAGAAGTTAAAAAGGTTGGAAGTGAGTCAGAAGTGTTAAGAACGACCAAATGGTGGAACGTAAAAAATTCAACTAATTGAGAACCACGAGGGGAACAATCACAGGCACCCCAGAGGGAGTGTGAAGCATTAAAGTCTCCCAGAATTATGTGTCTATAACCAGGCCTACAACGACTAAACATTAAATCAAGATCCCGCAAAAAAAATGTCAAATCTTCATTAGGAGGTACATATACGGAAGTAAGGAGAAAAGTAGCGGTATCTGTTGTAAATAATGCAGTGACGAAATATTGTGAATGAAAAAATAATTGTAAAGGAAAAGAAGAAGAAAATACTATAGCAGACAGCCCCGAGTCAGACTGATAAAAAGATTGTTGTAAAGGGAGACCAGCAATGGAATTGCGCCAAGAATAAAATTCCTGAAGGAATGCAAAATCAAAATCTCCCTCCAAGAAAACTTGCATAAAATGATCAGTACTGGCTCGAGACTTCTGGAAGATTGCACTGCAAAAAAGATAAATTAAAAAAAGAGTGTCGAAAATTAGGAGGAAAACGTGGAATAGACATATTCAAATTTTATTATGAAAGCGAAGATTGGTGCAACCTACGTTGTAATAAGAATTTATAAGTTGAGCATAAAAGAGAGTCAGCTGAATGATGAATATCAAAATTAGAAGATCTTGCACGGTTTGAACGTATACAGTTAATACAGCGATGGGGAGAAGTACAAGTAGATTCAGAATGTGATTCGGCACAACGAACACAGACAATGGGTAAGGTACACGACGAAGAAGAATGTGCAAAAGATTGACACCGAGTACAACGAGAGAAGCGAAAGTAAGGACGGATTCTACAAGAATTAAGACCAATATAAAACGAACCCGCAGAAAGGAAGGAACGGGCAGCGGTACGATCCACTACAAAAACACAATGATTAATATTTTCAGTGCGTGGTATAAGACGCTGGATAGAAAAATTAGTAGAAGATAGATTAGGAAATGATGCGCTCAAAGCTTGTTCAATATCTTCCCGTTGATAAGTGTGATGGAATATTAAAAATTATGAAGGAAGATTGACTTGGACCAGGAACTCGAAGTTGAATTTGATTCTGTAGTTGTGGATGAGAGGAAACGAAGGATTGAAATGATTGAAGTTGTTTAGGAGTAGAAAAACGGAGGAGTAATTCGCCACGCCTTGTGGAACGAATTTGTTTAAAGTTAAAAGAATATTGGTCCTGGCCTAGAGAGCGAACAAGAATAGAACGAAAATCCGAGGGATTCAAAGACTGAGGGGACGAAAGTATAAGGACAGGATCAGAAGAAGACTGTTGAGGATGATCTAGTTTAGCTGATAAAGGATCCGTGGGATGCGGTACAGAAGATCGTAATGGTGTTATTGGAGACTCGGCCAATTCCTCTGTCTCTGGAAGAGTTGTAAGAGGTTCTAATCTACGCCAAAAAATTCGATTAGAACGAGAGCGTGAAGAGAAAGATTTAGTTCCTGTGACAGAAGTTGTAGATCGAGAGACTGATACCTGTGGATCTGGTAAAGCTGGTGAACCCTCTGGCACTGTAGATAGGACTGAAGTATTAATCGAAGAATTTTGAACAGACCGGCGTCTTGAAGATCCTGATGAAGAAGAAGGTGATACTGACGAATTGCGAATTAAAGTAGACTGTATGGACTTCTTGAGGTTCGGTTGATGTAAAGAAGATGAAGTTGAAATATTCGCAGACACGGTTAGCGATTGCCCTGTAGGTTGAGACGAGGATAATGAACTCTCCAATGAGGAATCGAGGAGGTAAAGGATTAAAAAATAAGGGAACTAAATTAACAGGCGAAGAAGAAGAGGAAGGATCGACGCTAATAGAATGTTGAGAAACGCGAGGTAAAGTTGAAAATTCTGGTAGAGTATCAGTTTGTGTTTGAATAGATTGAAATGTAAGGGAGGGTTTATGAATAAATTCTTGAAGAGGCTGCAGAGAATTTGAATGTGAGAAATGTCACGAGAAATTGGCGCCAAAATCTGAGCTACCTGCTGATGAAGATCAGTAACCAATTCCTGTGAAGTACGAAGATGCTCTTGTTGAATGACAATATCTCGAATCTGATTGAGATGAGATGACAAAACTCGCAGATCAGCAGTGGAAAGCTTATGCCTTCCACGATGACGCTCTAAATGACTTTGAGTTTTATTCAACAAGGTGATTATCTGATCAGCTGGCTGCTGAGAAATGTGTTCAGAGAATTCCGAGACCGATGGAGAAAGTAAATTAGGAGCGTTAAACGAAAGAGTTTGAGAAACAGAATGATGGGAACGAGGAGAAGGAGAATCTATGTGATTATCAGGAGAGGGCTGGTGAGACGAATGTAATGACGCCTTAACTGTAGGACATTCTGTGACTACTGTATGTATAGATAGTGGACTAGAAAATTGCGAATTATATTCGACACGTGATTCAAACGCCGCCAAAGAGTCCGTATGTGATGTTAAAAAAGTATCAGTGTAGGGTAAAAGTGAGGTATCAGTAGATTTATAAGTTAAAATATCATGGAGAACGACAATTGGTAAGGTAAGACACGTATCATCTGGATGAGAAGATTGCTCATTAATTCCCTCCATGTGCAGTGATAAGTGGATGAAAGCAAGTAAAGATAATATAATTGAATAATAGATGAAAAATTATACACAATCAATGCACAGGATGAGAGAGAAATTATACATTACCTTAATATGAAATAATTAATACTATACGAAAAATTAAAAATTAATATGAAAAAAACTATAAAGTAAAAAAGAAACTTTTAAAAAAAGAAATAAATAATTAAACAATAATAAAAAAAATTAAAAATAACATTTAAGCACAATTAGACCCACCAAACGTCATATCCAAAAGAAATAAAGTAAATGTTAAAACAGTATTTATAAACCACTCTAACTGTAAAATGGGCTTCTCTATGATCTAAGTACCCTTGCGGTAGATCACTTTTACAGGCAAAGTAAAAGGATGAAGTTTTGAACAG